ACAAACCAAAACCCAACAAAAACCAAAACAAACAAAAAATAAATAAATTATATGCCCTATTTCTCCATTTATATAATTTTTTCTAATGTGGATCACATGTATTCATGGATCAAAGACATCCTCTATGAGGATATTAGAAGGAAAAAGCCAGTGTTTTTTTCGAAATGATATTCCGTAGTGGATCACATCTTTACCATACAAATGACTGAAGAATATAGAAAGTATAAGATCCCACTGTACTTTCTGTTGATTATAAAATAGTATTTGATTTAATAGAACAAAATGTACCTTCAAGGCTTTCTTCCAAAAAGGTATTCTTCCATTCATACTTTAAAAACATTTAAGATTCTTTGAAAGATATAACAGTAGGAAGTACTTTGCTCAGGAACCTTGTGAGCATAAACACTAGACAAAGCATAAAATGTGGAGATGTGCACTAGTTAGAAATCTAGTGTAGGTTTTATATCATATGTGGTGAGATCTTCCATCTCTGCAAATGACATGATGCCAGTTGCATTACAACATTGCAGAGCCTCCTGGAGGAAATCTATAACCATTTAAAAGAGTTTGACCTGACCTTCCACAAAGGAAAGACTGGGTGAATGAAGACTGTCTATTGCTAAATTACAGAATGCTGTTGGATGGACGAGCATATTATCGAGCTTGCTTCTTAGTGTATGTATACACACACACACACACACACACACACACATCTGGAATAGATAATGTGAATGGACAGTGAGTTGGGTTCACAATTAGACAGAAAGAGAGCAGTCTTTGCTTTTAGGAAATTGCAAAGCTTTTATAATGAGCTGATTTCTTTTTCTAGATTAACAAAGGACCACATTTTTCTTTTTTTTTTTTTAGACTCAAACACCAGAACTCAAATACAGAATAGAAAAAAGAAAAAGAAACATATCATAAACTTAAATATTGAAACTTAAATACAAAGTAAGAAAAGAAAAAAAAGCATGTTATGTGCACAGCAGAACGTAAGAGAGGATTCACAATATATAGCAATAAATTTTCATTTTAAGAAAGCCCATATGATAAATACTACATGTTGTGTTGAGAGTTGTCCGTCTTTTTTTTTGCTTCCTTGTAAGTTTTCTTTTGTTCTCTGCTGTGCATTTTTTACTTTGTTCTTTTTCCTCCCTTCTTCCCTACCTCCACCCCTGAAGGATATAATTAAGTGTGGATATATTTATATATATATACATATATACACATACATACATATATGTAGACATATGCTTTCCCAGGACCACATTTTTAATACCAACATTTTGCTAATATCGTTATTTAACTATAAGACATGGAAAATAGTAATCTCCAAAGAATTGAGAGTGAGTATCCCACAGAGGGCAATGGAGAGGTGTGTGGTGGCAGTAAGCAGGCTGTAACATATAACCAGTGAAGAACTTTGAAGAATAGTATTGAAGGAAAATGTGTAATGGAAAATTCTAGTGCATTTCCTCTGTTGATTATTTCCAATTTGTCCTGTATATAGCTTGTTTGTAAATAGTTGTTTGCATTTTATCTCTATCATTAGACTGTAAACTCCTTGAATCTCTTACATTTCTTTATATCCCTAGCACTTAGCACAGTACCTGGCACATAGTAGGTCCTGAAAAAGAAAATTGCCTGGTCACATGTTAATGGCAAGGATTATCCTGTTAGTGGACAGCCAAAGTGCTCTACTGATATCCTTTTGATGTCAGGAGAAACCAAGGAAGCCTCTACTACATTGAATATATCACTTGGGGAGAAGTTAAGAGAAAACCTGGATGAGTATTGTGCAGGAGGGACAGGGATGGGTGGATTGGGATTTCTATCATTGCATATTGATGAGATCACAGAGCCATGTTAAATATTTATTCTGTATGTATATGTACATATATTATTTACTTATCTATTTGCCTGTTGTTTTCCCCCACAAGGGAAAGAAATATTTGATTTTTTTCCCTTTGTATTCCCAGTGCCAAAGTAAACATTTGTTGAATTGAAAGGTTTTGTACGGGGTAGGTGTTGGTTTGGAGTGGGCACAGACAGCAATTAAATCACATATCTACCAAAGTACAGTATTTTAAAATAAGTGTCTTGAGAAATGGAGACATCATGGCAGAATAGTAGGAAGCAGTACAGGAAACCCTATCTTCAAAAATTCCTCCTAACATCTAGAAAATGCATTAAGACTGAATCCTGATGGAGGAAATCTGAAAAAGACCACAGTGAATTCTTTGTCCAGCCCAGCTTACCATAGAGAGACATAAAAGGAATTTTAGGGATATTGGGGACAGGTCCAGCTAGTGCCCAGGGAGAGGCTGTGCACTTGGGCAAGACAAAGTCTGAAACCCACACTGGAACTTTACTAAACCCATACCAAGGCACTTCAGTGGGGACAAATATGAATTGGTAGCTATGTTGCCCACTTTCCAGTTCTGAGTCATAGATTCATGATGGCTTGCAAAGGGGACTTGTGCAAGGGAGTGGTATTCCTGAGTAAAAGGCCCTAGGGTGCATATGGAAAAAGGAAGAAGTTTAGAAGCCAGTAGCTGCAGAGATATAGCTCAGATCCCAGGCACAAAGCAGTATCACTTCCAGCATCTTCCTGGCCTGCAGAAGAATAATCAAGGCAGGAATCCTTGACCAGAGGGGAGCCTAAAATTATGCCACATTTCACTAACAGGGCTTTCCAGCTAGCTGATAGGGGCATGCAGTTTACTTTCACTCAGACCCAAACTCAGAAAGGGAACTTGCAGGTCTCAGAACTGGGGAGGTCAGGGGGCAGGGGGCACTTCAGAAATTAGACTTTGCTCTGGATTGAAACACTTCAGGAGCGCTGAAAGCTTGCAGGTCTCCAACCCCGAGAAAGCAGCAAAAGGACCAACCTAATTTTTCTCTTGAGGAGTGTGGCGGAGTCCAGCCCTAACATCAAATCTGAAGTGAGGAAGTAAGCTGGAAGAATAGGCAACAAACAAAGAGTACCCCACCATAATAATTTATTAAGGTGGCAGGGATGCTCAAGACATGAACACTGAGAATGACTCAAAAATATCTTCAACCGGTACTTCAAAGAGAACCAAAGGTCAGGTACAAACAACTAGAATTCCTGGAATAAATGAAACAAAATTAAAAAAAAAAGAACTAAAAGAAGTTTTATAGATGTAATGAGAGTGCTTGAAAAATTTGGAAAGGAAATGAGAGCTATAGTAGAATTACTAATAGAATTAACATAGCACCAGATATAAAACCTTGTTGAAGCAACAAACTCTTTGAAAATTCAAATGGACTAAATAGAAGCCATGACTCCATGAGGCAATAAAAATATTAAAACAAAGTCAAAAGGCCAAAAAAATAAAATGTAAAGTATTTCATGGCAAAAACAACTGACTTGATAAGCAAATAGAGGAGAAAAAAAATCAAAGAACCATTGGACTATTTGAATGCCATGGGAAAAAAAAAGCCTAGACATTATATTTCAAAAAATCTTAAAAGAAAATTGCTTAGATCTCCTAGAACCTGAGGGCAAAATCTAAATAGAAAGAATCCATTAGTTACCTCCCAATAGAAACCCCTAAATAAAAACTGTCAGGAATATCATAGATATAATCCAGAGCTTCCAGATCAAAGAAAAAAAATACTGCAAGCAGCCAGAAAGAAAGAATTCAAGTAGTGAAGAGCCATAGTGACGATCACACATGGTTTAACATCTATCCCTATAAATGAGTGGAGAACTTGGAATACAATATTCTAGAAGGCAAAGTGTATGATCTTATAGCCTAGAATAACTTATCCAGCAAAATTGAGTATAATGCTAAAGAATAAAATAGACTTTTGATGAAATAGAGGATTCCTGAACTTTCCTGAAAAAAGACCAGAGCTTTGGAGAAATTTTGAAGTTCTTCACAGGAGTGAAGAGAAACATGAAAAGGTTAACATGAATGAACAATGACAGAAGGACTAAACATTCAAATATGGGAGATGACATGTGTCCCCTCTGAACCTTTATCATCATCAGGGTTCATAGAGGAAGTACAATTAAACAAAGCTTGTGAGTGGTTCTGTTATTCTTGATCTTAAGAAAAGAATGGAAAGAGGGAAACAGGAATACATTGAGGGGGAAGGGAAAGGAAAGTTAGGGAAAATTGTCTCATAATGAAGGTGTGCAACACTATACAAACAAGGAGGAGGAATAGGTGACTGACAATTGAATCTTACTGTCATCTGAATTGGTCAAAAGAAGGAAGAATACCCATACACAATTGGGTACAGAAATATGTTTCATTCAACGGGAATATAGGAGGGAAAGGGGAAAAAGAAAAAAGGGGGGAGAATTAGACGAAACGTTTAAGATTGAGGGAAAGATTAGTCCTAAGCAACACAAATTCTAAGGATATACAGTAATATTTATAGTTCTTTTTGAGGTGGCAAAGGATGGGAATCTGAAGGCGTAACCATGAAGAGGGAAATGGATGAATAAGTTTGGTATATAAGAGGACTAATGATGAAACATGCTACCCATTTCCTGATAGAGAGGACTAAGAATACAGACTGAGAATTTTTTTTTTCCAGACATGGCCAGTGTGGATTGACAGTTTTGATTGACTCTATGTGTTTGTAATGAGTTTTGTTTTTCTTGTGTTCTTGGTAGGGGTGGGGTTTGAGGTGGGAGGGAAAGAAGGATAAATCTTCACTAAAAACAAAATATTAAAAAAAACTAAAGTAAGTGTCTTAATACAATTCTAATAAATTTTATCCTGAGGGACAGATTTTTAAAAATTGCCTTTAGGTTAGGCTATAGGCACAAACTCTAATCTAAATGTAGGTTATTTTCCACCTTTCCATTTCTCCTGCTTATAATGGTTGAAATGCTGGGCTGGTCCATTGGACACAATTAATTTCTAAATGTGTTCTTTGTTGTCCTTAATGAAATAGACTTGTAGCACAATTGATAACTTGTGAATTCTTCTCCCCCTTCCCCCCTTTCTATTTTCCAGATCAGTCTGAAGGAATGGATTTTACAGAGGCTTACTCAGATACATGTTCTGCTGTAGGCCTTGCTGCCAGGGAAGGAAATGTAAAAACCCTAAGGAAACTGCTCAAGAAAGGATGTAGTGTTGACGTTGCTGACAACAGAGGATGGATGCCAATTCATGAAGCAGCTTATCACAATTCTGTAGAATGTTTACGGCTGTTAATTCGTTCAGGTAAAGTCAGGTTGAGGTATGGATAATTGGACTCACTAAGTTGTTGCTTGGTTTTATGGTTCACTGTCACTTATTATCAAAAGTGTTTTCTTTTTCTTCTGTACAAAAATATCATTGAAGGGTCATTTGAAGATTGGTGAGATCCCCTGATCTTCCTGCAGTAAGTAATATTGTGCTAGGGAAAGAGATTATGAAGTAACCTGAGCAGATATACCTGACTAACTTATTTTTATTGTCATAACCAAGTAAAATGCCAAAAAAGGAGTCAGGTATTTTATATTTTAAAAAGTCAGTGGTTTTACTTCTCTCCACCTTTCCAAAACAAAAAGGGCAGTGTCCTATTTGAATTAGGAGATGTGGTTGTGTTTGATATATACTATATTTTATCTTTATCTCTTTTCAGTTTTCCTTATTTTGGGCAAGCTGGTCAATTGCTTTGACTTTACTATATTACTACATGTTCTTTTATTTAACCCACAAGCTAATAAACTTATTAGACAAATATCCATTGTCAATGGAAAGACTAATTTTGAGTAAGTTAGAAGAAGATGACTTAACTTGATAGCTTGGCAGCTAAGTTCCTACCAGGTCTATGGAATTTCCTTCATTTTACCTTCCTATCTTAGGAAGTTGAAATTCATCAGCTTAACCTTTTGTTTTCATGGAGAGGGAAATATTTTCTGATAGTGGTACACTGTGTGGTCAGTTTTGTTTTTACCAGTTAAGACACATTCTTCTTTTCCTTAATCGCTAAGAATTATTCATTAAAAAAAACCCAAAACATTTCTGTATATACAGCAGAACATAAAAACTATGTATATTTTTGTATTCATAGTATGAAACTATGAATGTTATTTTATAGTGTGTGCTTTTAAAAAAAGGATATAATAAATTCTAAATGTTACTTTCAAAACTGACCTGCTTGTCTGTGCTTCCATCTGAACTTCGTTCTATTCTCTTATGTGCATTAACATTTTTTTGATGGCTTTTTTTTGGGGGGGTATCTCTATTGCTAATCCTCTCTCCTGACCTCTTTGGTTAATTAAAAACTGAGAGAAAGAGGAAAAAAAAGCACCTTGTAAACAATAACCAGAATCAAGCAAAACTAACCTACATGGTGACAATGTCCAGAAATATATTTCTGTGCACCTTGTGTCCATTATCTTTTCATTAGGAGACAACATGTTTCATTATAAATCCTCTGGAGACATAGTCATTTCATTCATCAGATTTCTTATGTCATTCAAATTTTTTTCTTTACAGTGTTGCTGTGCTTGTACAAATTACTCTTCTGTGTCAATTCATACTATTCAGGATTCTCTGAAATTGTTTGTTTTGTCATTTCTTACAGGGCAGTATTTCATTATACTTATATCACGGTTTGTTCAGCTATTCCCCAATTGTCTTAGGAAGCAATCTAAGGCCCCTTTTAGATTCAGTTCTTTTTTTTTCCCCTCTCCATTTTAATTCCCATTCAGGATCAGGAATTTTGTTTTTCTTGGGACTATTCCCTTTCTGATATTATTTTCCCTCTTACCTCTGTCTTTTCCCTACACCTGGTAATTTCCCTGTTGAGTTTGACGTATTTCTACACTAAATTATTTGTTTAAGTGTGTGGGTGTTTGCACATGCATGTTCAACCTCCTTTGTTTCAGATAAGATTGCATCCATCTGATGCCTACTTCCCCCTAGTTTGTATATTCTTTACTCATCCATGCCAAGTATGAGAAATAGCAAGTTCTTTTCTTCTCTTCCTTTCTACACTGGAGTATTTCTCTTACACTTCCTTCTCTTGTAATGGAATAAATATCATCCCTAGGACCTTTATTTTTCATATTTAACTCCTTCAGTACTCTCTGAAGACAAAGTTCCAAGGGGGCACTTGTTTCTTCTCTCTCTCATAAAATATTAGAACTGTATCATTCCAGAGCGCCTTCCAGTTGCTCAAATAAATTACTTTATTAGTTTCCTCTGTACTCGTGTTTATATTTCAAAATTTCTACTCAGCTCTGATCTTTTTGTTAGAAGTGCTTGAAAGGCCTTCTTTTTTTTTTCTTAATTTATTTTTAGCTTTCAACATTCACTTCCATAAGCTTTTGAATTTAAAATTTTTCTCTCCTCTCCCCAACGCAGTGTGCAATCTGATATAGGCTCTACATATACGTTCCTATTAAACATATTTTCACATTAGTCGTGTTGTGAGGGAGAATTGGAACCAATAGGAAGAACCATAATAAAGAGGAAATAAAACAAAACAGAAGGGAAAAAAAGAGCAAATAGTATACTTCGATCTGCTTTCAAACTCAATAGTTCTTTCTCTGGATGTGGATAGCATTTCCCATTATGAGACTTTTGGAGATGTCTTAGATTCTTGCATTGCTGAGAAGGGCTAAGTCTATCAAATTAGTCATTGCACAACGTGGTTGTAACTGTGTACAACATTTTCCTGATTTTGCTCACTTCACTCAGTATCAGTCCATACAAGTCTTTCCAGGTTTTTCTGAAGTTCCACCTACTCATCATTTCTTACAGCACAATAGTATTCTGTTACATTCATATACCACAACTTTGTGTTCAGCCATTCCGCAATTGATGGCCATCCCCTCAATTTCCAATTCTTTGCCACCACAGAAAGAGCTCCTATAAATATTTTTGTACATGTGGGTCCTTTTCCCATTTGGATGATCTCTTTGGGATATAGCCCTAGAAGTACTATTGCTGGGTCAAAGAGTATGCACATTTTTATAGCTCTTTGGGCATAGTTCCAAATTGCTTTCCAAAATGGTTGGATCATTTCACAACTCTACCAGTAATGCATTAGTGTTCCAATTTTCCTATATCTTCTCCAGCATTTGTCATTTTCCTGTTTTGTCATGTTGGCCAATCTGATAGGTGTGATGTGGTACCTCAGAGTTGTTTTGATTTGCATTTCTCTAATCAATAGTGATTTAGAGCATTTTTTCATGTGACTATAGATAGCTTTAATTTCTTCATCTGAAAACTGCCTGTTCATATCCTTTGACCATTTCTCAATTGGGGAATGACTTGTATTCTTATAAATTTGACTTAGTTCTCTATACATTTTAGAAATGAGAAAACCTCCTTTTTTTTTTTTAAAGGACCTGCCCCACCACCCCTGATACTATTCTTGCTTGTAAGCCTGTATTTTTTGCCTTTTGGAATATTGTATTACAAGGTTTATTCTTGTGCGTGGTAGAGGTTGCCAGCTCTTATGTGATCCTGACTGTGGTTCCTTGGTACTTGAACTCCTTTTTGTATATCTGCAACTTTTTTTTTTCCCTTTGACAAGAAGCTCTGGGTTTTGGCCATAATATTCTGGGACCTTTTTTTAAGTTTTTTTTCTTTCAGGAGGTTATAAGTAGTTTCTATCTACACTTTGCCCTCTGGTTCTTATATATCTGGACAGTTTTATTTGTAACTTCTTGAAATATAATGTTCAGGTTTTTCTTTTATTCATAGTGTTCAGGGTATCCAGTGATTATTAAATCATCTTTCTTTTATCTTTTTTTTCAGATTAGTTATTTATAATATCAGCTATCTTATATTTTCTTTTACTATTACCATCTTTTGAATTTGTCCTAATATTCCTCACTCCCTCATGTAGTCATTGATTTCTATTCGGGTTATTCTGGTTTTCAGGGAGTCTATTTCTTAAGTAAGTTTACTATTTTCCAAGCTATTTTCTTTTCATTTCTTTAAATTTTTTTCATTTTATTTCTTTTTTTAAAAAATCTCTTGCTTCATTTCTTTTAAGTATTCATGCAGTCCTTGTGGAAAATTCATTTTTTCCCTTTGAATTTCTGTTTACAGTTGTTAGGGAGTTAGATCTGCAATAATTTTTTTGGCTCACTGCCAGGCCTGGAGTCAGGAAGACTCATCTTCCTGAGTTCAAATCTGACCTCACATGCTTACTAGCTGTCTGACCTTGGGCAAGTCACTTAACCCTGTTTGCCTCAGTTTCCTCATCTGTAAAGTGAACTGAAGAAGGAAATAGCAAACCTCTTCTGTATCTTTGCCAAGAAAACCCCAAAATGGGTCATGAGGATTGGAACATGGCTGAAAAATGACTAAACAATGACTTTTTTTTTATTAATGGGCATTTCCTTTGTTTTACTCACCTCTCTAGCTTTAGTTCCTTAATTGAGACATTGTACCAGGGCAAGACTCTGCCTCCTGAAGTTCTTTTGAGTAGTATGATTGGCCCTACTTGGTCTTTCTCTGAGCCCCTTGTGATCTTTGAGATCTGGATCTTCAGGGCCCTCTCTAGTGTCTCAGGAATTAGGGTTAGGGAATTCAGAGCCTCTGGCCTGAGGATGTTCTGGTTTGAGCACTGCCATGGCATACTGGTCACTACTTCTCTGACCTCCCAAGGCTTCCATCTTTCTGACTCCCCTGGTTTATTCTTAGGGGAGTTCTCCAAACTTGTTGCTTTGGGACCAGAACCCTGGTCAGCTGAGAGGTTGGGCATGCCTGTGTTTACACTGGTTTAGCTCGTGGCACACTTTTCTATTGCCCAAGGGTTTCCTGATGACTTTTTATGCAGTTCTGGGGTGAAAGAAGTCATTTAATATACTCTCATTTGATTTCTTGATCATTATTTGGTCTGGGCAAATTTCAGGTTTTTGCTAGATGGAGTAGGCATGTGATAGTTGGGCACTCTGCCTACAGTCAGGTAGTGCCATTGGCTGGAAGTCACCCCTTCTCTCATCTTTAAAAAATTAAATAGACTTACTCTTTATACTCCATATTCCATCCCCAAACATGCATTGTAGCCTCTAGCCTGAGTGCTTTTGCTTATACTGTTCCCTATGATTGTTGAGCCCTGCTTCCTTCTCTTTGTTGAATTTAGTATTCATATTTTTAAAAAGTTATTTTAAAAAGTGTATAATGCATTTTTTATACTAGTCAGTTCCCCTCCCTGTTCACTTAAAATAATCCAAAAAACATATAAGCAGCTGTACCATCGGATACAATGACTG